CCTTCTTTCTGCTCAACTTTGACTATCACTATGAGCTGAGGCACCATTCACTTACCTGAGGAGTTGGCAATCCCAGCTTCTACTGTGGCAGGATATTTCTAACTTATCAGTAGGTTTGAAACATAGATGATAGCAAAGCTTAGACTGCTTCAAGCTGCCTGGTGTGTTCTTTCTAGATTGTTCAGAGTTTTCCCTAGTTAGTGGGGATTGAAGACCCAGTAGACCTCAGGCAGAAGCCAGGTTGACTAAATCAAAGACACAGTGACTGATTTGTAATTTATTATTAAAGAATCAAAAGTGAAAGAATTCTGGATAGTTTGTCATCTTTAAAAAAGGTAAAATTGTTTTAGATCCATCTAAAAATTGAATGGCATCCTACCTTGCTTTAAATATTGACTAATGGTTAATGTTTGTCAGTTAGATATGAAATATCCTCACAAATTAAATATATCATTATGTGAAAAGTATATATTTTCATTTTACATATAAAAGTTTCTTATATTTTAAAGCCGAAGGATATAGAAAAGTCTTAATTATTAAATGGTGTACCTATATTAAATACTTCAAAGTTCTGTTACAAAGCAGATGGTGGCTATCTATAGCAGCAAGAGCATAAAGTAATGAAATTACTTTTTTCCCCCCAATAAGCAGACTAGAACTCAGAGCTTTACATATATTCCACATTGTGGGTTAGAGATATTTTTGGAACTCTCCTTTGGAATTGTTTTCAGGGCCAGACAAGAAAGCTAACATAATATTATAGATCCATATCCTTCAGGATACAAAGCAGTAGTTTGGTAAACCTACTTTAGTAATTGAATTTGGCTCTAGGATGATTTCTGATCATTTACAAATCAAAGAATAATGGTGTGCCAGAAAGGGATGTACCACAAGATCTGAAGGCAATTCCAAAAGTCTTTCAAAAATGTTTGGGAGGACAGGCAACATTAGAATAATATAAGCGAGCAGCCTCCCAAGGTGACAGCTTTGAAGGTATCATCATTAAATATATAACTTCAGATTTGTTTGCTTAAAAAAATCTATCACATTACCAT